AGATTTTCATTAGATGATACAATGGAAAAGTTTTAAATGGATGATAGAGAATTTTTATCGATGATAAATATCAGAAGTCTTGTTTATAATGAAATAGAAGTGATTTGAGAATATAAGACAAAAGGAAATCTACAATTAATTTATCTGAAATATATAATGAAAAGGAAATCTAAGCACTTTGTATCACATATTATTTAGTTAGATTTGTTATGTTAAATAAATTTCCTTGCATCAACACGATATTATTGATCAAAAATCTTTTTGGATACAACTACGTCTTAATAAATAATCCTGCTTTTTTGGAATATTAAAAAAACTATTTTGTTCCATAACAATGTTCAATAACAATGTTTGGTCTTTTTTTTTCTACGAAATTTATTAAAATATTTCTCTAAAATTTTATTCCTTTGTTTAAAAAATATAGAAATGTAATGTAACATAATATTAATAAAATATAATTAAGACTAATAAAACTTAGAATAATCATTAGATCACAAGTAACAAATTTAATATTTATGCGCATACGAAATGAAAAAAAAGGCAGAGAAATTTATATTTGCTTAAATAGAAAACGACGTATATATCAGTAGATATATAAATAGTGGCTAGGTCGATACATAGTAAACGCAAGCGAGAGAGAGAGAGAGAGAGAGAGAGAGAATAAATTACGTTTGTAACTAGAAACAAGTTCTACCGGTTCACAATTAATATATAATCCATTATCGCCTTCATTATACATGCTTGTGATCATCCACGTGTATATTATAATTTGATACAAGTTCTCTCTATACTCTCTCACTTATTTCATCTCTGGAAATGTTGAATTCATAATCGATCGAGCAGTCGCATGAAGGTCGCCAAACGATTGAACTTGGAAAGCGCATTTCTTCCTTTTTGATCACTCATATTTTTATATCTTGTATTCTGTATAATTTGTGAATTTATTTTCTTATTTAAAAAAGTTTTACTAACATAAGAATTTATACTTCTTCAATTTCTTTCTTTCTTATTTTCTACGATCACAGACAATCTTATTTGGATAGTATTATACAGCGATTCATTTGAATATTTTTTTGCGTTTTATAATGAGCAAAAGTATTAAACAAATAAATTATGTTTAATATTTTCTGAGTAAGACATTAAAGTAAAAAACAATTATGAAAATTTCTACTTTTAACGAAATATTTTATATATCTTTATTTTTACTTTATACATTATGCATCTTATAATTCTATTTTAAATGCATGCCTGACACAATATTGTTTTTTAAAAAAGATATAATTAAACAATTTATCAATAGACTCAATTTATTGTATTTGATAAATGCAATTATATTTCGTAAGTTATCACTTGAATTGTATCATCATTATAATATTGAATTAATTCATAAATACATTATTTTCCTATCACTTATTATTTATTATAATAATAAATCTGACTGAATCGGATAATAAAGCTGACTGTTAAGACTTAACATGCTCTAAAGTAAATGTAGATGCTGAAATATTTATCTAAATATTATAAATAATTTGCAAATAGAAATTAAATTTAAAATAAATATGTCTTGAAGATTATCTAAGAACTTACGATAAAAATTATTTATCGTAGATATACAAGTTATGAAAATAGTTATTTTTTTTTAAATATTGTCAAACATTTGTTTTAAAACTAAGAAGACACCCTGGATGTTTAATTCTTTTTCAAATACTTATTTTATAATGTTATTTGTACTTTGAAGCAGAGAAAATTTTATATATTCAAATATTATTTATTTATACTTATTATATGACGTACATAAATATTTATATTTAATTAAATCTATTTTATAAATTGCATTTCATTAATACAATTTCAACATATTGTAGATAAATATTAGAATTTTTGATTCGCTGAAAAGAAGATAACATTTTTCTCAGTTCATCTTTGATATGAAATAAGTAATAATTATTATATAAAGATAATTACTAAATAATATACGTCTTTATTTTCGTTATAATTACTATTTCTTATGACTTTAGTGTAATAGTAATTGTAATAATATGTAACTAGCCCTAACTATGTTTAACATTAATACTAAACTTCTATTAAATTTTTTAATGCACAACATTACAATTATAACATAACATTAAATTTTTTTTGTTAAAGTCAATGATAATTTATTGCAAGTTTAAATTTCTCCTAAAAATTTTATTATTATATATTATTGTAAATGGTTTTTTATCGCTGATTTTGAAATAATGCGAATGTTAATAGTAAAGATGCGATGGTCCGTTATTTAACGAATGTTGAAAAACTGTTAATGATGTATTCCTCACACATTGCCACATATATGTATATAATTTTTGTTTTTATGTCATGCAAATAATACTATATCGATAGAAAAAATGTATCGATGAATTAACAAGATGAATATAACTTCTTCTATATTTATGATATTTTCGTTCATAATCATAATATTAATAAATAAAAAAATGACCACTATGCGCTTAATGGAAGGATTGTTGATACTTGTTGAAAAATTATTGATATCTAAATTATATTCGAAGTTTACTAGTTTGTATTTACTTATAGGATTGAAATAATGTCGGAAGGCCAATTATTCATTTGCTTTGCAATAATCCAAGAAACTTTTTTGTTATTTCATCATTAGTTCGACGCGTAACAATAATTTTTTCAACAAAAATGATTAATTAAATAACATGGACTCGCAGATTTTCACTAGAATTAAAAGAATCCACTCAGTTGTTTGTAAACTGACGTTAGTTCTGCTAAGATAACTACATTTTTATTATTGCTGTTAACGTTAATCAACCTTACGTTACGTGATAAATACAAGGTAAAGGTAGTTTTATCTTACAACATCATAAATAATAATTTGTTAAATAGATATTTTTTAATTAAAGGATAAAAGATCAATTTTGTCATTAGTGAACAAAGAAGTATAAGTGAAAAATAATAAAAAAAAATTAATATGTACTTCATCACATATTAATATTATTATTAATTATATATTATTTTAGATTTTTTCTAGCTAATATTAGCAATTTAGAGGATATTCAACAATAATATAATGCTAAAATGCAAAAATTGAGTATTTAATCATTATTTACAATAAATATCAGAAATTTATTTTCGATATAGTATTACACGATTAATTATTTTTCTTATTTATGGCAAACAAAATTAAATTTATTAACTTCTTTTATTTTAAAATGAAGTATCTAAAATAATTTTAATAAGTTTGTAATATTTATTTTAATTAATGAGAAAATGTATAATAGAAAATACATGCCCTTTTAATTTAACCAAGAATTATAAGAATTACGGTTCATTTTTCTTAGATGAATATTTGAGATTACTTATGTCGGTATAAATGAGTAAATTATATGAAACGTGAATACAAATAAAAAGTTGCAATTATTGTATTAAAATTAGTTATCATATTTCACTTTAGTGATACGCAAATAAATAATAAACATAAATAAGATATGTTAATGAACGCAAAATTAAATATAAAATTTATCGTTTTGATGTTTTATTTTATTATAGTTAAAAATGATATTATTGATAAATTTAATATTTTATAAAGAAACTTATATACCTAATACAATAAAAAAATATGATCGAAAACAAGGTAAATTCTGTGTAAGCCGTAAAATGTAGATATTACGCTCGGGAAACGATAATGATATGTTACACGTATTTATAAGATTTTTCTACTCTCGTCAATTTTGCAATTACAATGTCTGATGCATTTTTATAATTGAGATGTGTACATGCAATGCATGTATGATCGGTTTTCTTCGAATTTTAAGTTGTATTAAGTTTTGAGAGCATTTAGTTGTATGATTTAGAATTTAAAGTTTTTTTTTTTTAATTGAATTTTGATCACATAAAAATTATTATAAGTTTTTCATACATCATAAATGCCATTGAAAGAGCAAAAAATAAAATTAACATAATAACAAAAGCGAATATGCTTTTGAAAAATATCTCATTTTAACTAATGTTCCTTATTAATCCTTAACATTGCTTCCTTACTAATAATAATTAAATGCTAGAGATATAAATCATCAGAAAATGAATAAATAATGGATTTAAAAGCATAAGTAGAATATGTAAATATACAATTTTGTATATCGTAGAAATTATCTAAAAAATAAATATATATACAAAATTATAATTTAGTAAATTGTACATTTTTATTATTTATTTAAATATTCATAATGATCTTATGATATTCATATTCAATTATATATTTTAAAACGTTAAAATATTTTTATTATACTTTCATGTATGAACAAAAATAACTATTATAATGCAAGAATCAAATGAAAGAAATTGGAAAGATTTGATTTTATTCAAAATTATTATGTCATGTATATTAAAAAGAAATCTATATTTCGTAGATTAAAACCCAATGAATTATCATAATATATAAATTTAATGAAAGTTGAATTCTGTAACATTCAATTTTAAAATGTTATGGCATAATTGTTTCTAATATCGTAAATTTTCAATATCAAATATTAATACTTTATTACATATTTGATCGAGCAACTGAAATTTTTGTAAAATGATTGAAATATAGAAATGACGAATATAGTTAAATAATAGACCTTATAATATATTTACATCAATTGTAAGTTTCAATATTAGAGTTTAAAAAAAAAATGAACTGTTTGTAATTATGTTTAAAAAGTAATTTTTTATATATGTAATAATATCCTTTGTTATTAGTTTTTTAAAATTGTCAATGAAACGTATACACTTTTAGTGCGGAGTTAAAAAAAATTAGAGTAATATTGGAAATATTGATTTTCTTATATATCATTAGATATTGAATTAGAACGTTAAAAGAATATATTGATATGAAAAATTAATAAATATATTTCTGAAAATTTTTTTAATTTAGTATGTGGTGTTATTTTTTCCTTATGTAATTTTCAAAATATATAGCTATTATAAGTGCAAACTAATTGAGAAACAATATATTTCAGCTGATTAACTAGTCGGTTTATCATGGCAAAAATTCGTATGCCAGAGAAGGTGGAATCAAAGCCCACATCTCTTCAATCACAGCATATTAGCGATAAGTTTAAGTATTCCAAAAACAACAATAGATCCTTCGACGATCTTAATCACATGATAAATGGAGTCCAGAGTATTAAAATAATTAAAAGTATTATCATTAATAGCAAAAATTCAAGAAAAATGATCATAGAGCCACATAATCATCAATCCGTTTTGAAATCAAATTTTGCATACAAAAATAATAATGTAGTTTGTGATGATAAGAAATTAGACAAACAAAGTGACGAAGATGAAGAGGATGATGACGACGACAATGACAATCTTATTGAACGAGATCTACTTAAGTCCCAAGCATATTTCGTGGATAGGTCAACGCCGTATACAGAAACATTTCATTGGTCAAATTCTGATATTATACAACAAAATGAGGGCTCGACAGATTATGATATTAGTGCTAAAGAAATTCTAACCGATTGCGAACATAAGAAGAAGATAGACTTTTGTCTTGATAAACTATCGAATATGAATCAGGAGCGACAAATAACTAATTCATTTCCAACAATTTGTTCGGATTTCACTGGAGCTTCGTGTTATTCGGTAAGAATTTTTTTTATTGTTCTAGTACTTCGTATGTATAGTTGAAAAAATTTTAATGGCAGAAAAAAGTACGATGTAAAGAGAAAATATTTAGATCGCATATCCATTATATATAATTACTGTTATATATAATTATTTTTTTATTTTATATATAATAATTTTTTTATTAATAAGTGACATAAATTATTGCTATTTATTAAACTATATTTTGCATAATTAGTTGTTGGAAAATATATTATGTCCCTATTAATTAAAATGTTGAATCTTGAAACAAGATAATTTAGTTTTACTTTTTTTTTTAATCATATAAATTTTCAACGCATAAAAGTACATCAATATTAAATGTGTTTTAAATTTTTAAATTGATACAAATATAGGAATATTATATTGTTACGAATAGTCGAAAGTTGTAACAATTTTCTTATTAGTACTTTTTTTTTATATTAGTATAATATTCTTATTATACTTTATGAAGAAAAACCTTTTACTTGCAGGTATCGTTTAAAAGTTCGAATTAAATTATAAATATACATTCTATTGAATTATATTTTAATTGTACCGAAAGTTTTTTTAAAATTATATAGATTCATTCGTGGAAGGGAATTTAATATATTTTTACCTTTTTCCACAAACACGCACACACGCACACACACACACACGCACGCACGCACACACGCACGCATATATATATATATATATATGTGTGTAAATTCATTTTAAATAATATGTTATTTAATAAGAAATATTTGTGCCAATTTGTGCATTATATCTGTATATCTATATATATATATCTATATTAATTTATGTTTAAATGTATCTATATGATATAGTAAACAAATTATCAAAGAAATTTACAATTTTTAGCTAGTTTTTTATTATACGATAAAAGGTTTGTTAATATATGATAAATTTTTTTAATTAATCGTTACGAATTTTCCAAATATCTGGAAAATGTGATGTCCGAAAAAATGACAATGATCGTATTAAATACAATGAGTGATAAATTATCAATTATAATGTTAAAGAAAATTTTAAATTCTATATTTACTCTTACAATTGAATAGGTCTCTTGGAATGGGATTATGTCATTATAACTATAAAAGAATAATTACTCTACTCAAGTAACATTCAGCATCAATTAAAATAAAGTGAATTGTTTATTTTGAACGCTTTTATTCTTGCTCCAAGAAATTTAAGAGATTCAGAGAATATTCACCGTAGCTACCAGCCAGTTAAAACTATGTTGCATTTGAATTCTTAAGTTTACCAAGAAAACTACTGTCACAGTAACTAAACTCAACCTGCTTCTCGTTCCCATCATATTCATACACTTCGCAAATGAGGGAGAGATTCAAACGAGAGAGAGAGAGAGAGAGAGAGAGAGAGAGAGAGAGAGAGAGAGAGAGAGAGAGAGAGAGAGAGAGAGAGAGAGAGAGAGAGAGAGAGAGAGAGAGAGAGAGAGAGAGAGAAAAAAAAGAGGAATATACAACTAACACGGAGTTTCGTTGGCCAGCAGCCACCGCAGCCACCGCAGCAGCAGCAGCAGCAGCATCAGTGGCAGTAGTCGAATAGATCGTTGGGTGACTTGCACACCAGAGACTCGTGCCACTTACCGTCGATAACAGTTCGCAAGACGAAGACGTCATTGTTGGATATTCTTTCGAGCGGCTCATCAGTCTTCATCCAGTCCCCTCGAGCATAGTTGTACCGGAAGCGCCGTCTCGACGTCGCGGATCTGCACCACGGAGAATAACTGCCCGGATTCGCCGGCAGGCAGTATCAACGCCCGCGCAACCTTATTCTCGAGGCCCAACAGTCGAGCCTCGAGTCGCGCTCGATCGCCGAGCTGCATCAGCGATTGCAGCGGAGCGTCATTTTTTTCATGCACTGAGTAGCCCCATGGGATCGCCTCAGGTGAGAATTACTTCCCTCGACAGCTTCTGGACACTGATGATTACAAATGTTATTCGTAGGATTAGTTAATCTGGAACGTCGCTCTGACGGAGCTTCAAAACCTATCATTGGTTATTTTTTCAACCCTGGTCACTATATGTTAGTGTAAATATTTACTATTTGCATCGAAAACTTGCCGATTCAGCGTAAGCAATAAGCGGCTACAACTGTACTACCTTGCAATCGCTCTAACAAAGTACGGTGCTTACAACTTTAACAATTATTCAGGAATAATAGCATAAAAACATATCTACCAATGCTAATTATCGCTGTTGTAATTATTTTACATAACAATCAACTGATGTGTCACGTGTCCCTTTGAGCACCAAAGCGTTATTATAGTTTATCGATGTTTTCGAATACACTATTGGCCAATGGCGACGCAGCTCAATTGCATGCAATTTCAAAATAATTGCGTGTATAAAAATATTATTAATTATTATGACAATATAATATAGGTGAATTAAGTAATTGCGTTTGAATTAATGAAAATTAAACGATTGTTAGCTGCTGTACGAGCTTTTGTAGAGAAGCTTTATAGGAAAGTATGTTGATTCGCTTATGATTAAGTGATAATTGTCATAAAAATGATATTTATATAACTTGCAAAACTAATTAAATTCAAAAATCAATGATCACTTGATTATAAATCAGAGATTTTTATCACACAAACGAGACAGAATTTATTGCTTTATGGTCATTGGATAAAATGAACCAACTGCTTCCACACTTTACACTGTATTCCAAGAATATGAATATAGTATTGCGTGAAAAATACATGCGTTACTGCATTCGGAATAGTCTTTCGTGTAGTTGTTAGTAAGATAATTGCATGCCTGTAATAAATTCTAGTTTATAATTGCTCAAGGTTGTGCATAAATTTGTGAATTTAAAATTAGTATTTGAGCACATATCTGAAGCGCAATTTATTCATTTTCAATACAAATAATTATTTCATATTAATAAAATGATTAATTTAGGAACAAAATAAAAAAAAGAAAAAACAAAAAATAAAGTATAAATTATGAAGATTATAGATGAAAATTTTATTACCAATGATTATTATTCTGAAAAGAAAATCAGTTATGAAAAATTGATACTAAATATATGTATATATTAATATTAATACATTTACAAGCCTGCAAGAAACAAAGATGAGAACATATAGTAATATAATTATATATAGGCTTAGTCAATATTCATGATTTATTTTGAGTGATTATAAATATTATTATTATATATAAATGTCGAATATTTTATTTCAGTTTTTCTTTCAATTGCTATATATTTCATTATTAATCAAAACTCTTTTTCTTACCTCAGTATATAAAGAAAACCTTAATTTACGATATTAAATGATGTCATATTATATATATTTTATTGCATTATATCTAGTATTTAATATATAAGATCGTAAATTTAATTTTTACGTAATTTAACAAATAAACTAAAATTATATTGTCACTTTGAAATTTATAAATCGTTTTGGAAATTATGATCATATTTCAATAATTTCTATTTTAAATTTCTTGATAACGCAATTAAGCTTTATCATATAATAGTTACATGCAACTATCGCTAACTTTAATCGTAATAATGTTTATTTTTATTAGAATATAATTATAGTGAAATTTAACAAACTATATTATGGGCGTTTAAGCAAATTCATTAAATGTACATATAAGTAATATTTAGAATATTTTTATTCATACTATTAATGTAATGAAAAATGACTATAAATATTTTTGTATTATAAATTTATATCATATAAATATTTACTTGGCGTTTAAATTTATTAAACTAAATTTTTGTGTAAAATAATTTTAAAAAAAATATAGCAATTATAAAAAATTAGAATTACAAAAGGATTATCTATTAATAATTATTGAATAATTTATCATAATTATAAATTTAATAGTATCATAAAGTATTTATTTTATTCATCATATAATTTAGCCCGAGATCAGTGAAAATTTAATGATAAATATCAAGACTGATAACCAGGTGTTTTAAAAAACAGAATATCCTAAGTCAAGGGTTTCCTTGATCCTGAATCTGAAAATATGAATTGTACTCAATGTATTGATTGGTCATTCCTATATAAACAAATGAAGCCCTCAGGCAAAGTTGATCGAGTCATTATTTTACTAAATATCTTAAGTTATATTTACCACATATATCAGATATATGTTTACTTATAAATGTTCTTAATAAAATATGTTAAGAATATTCAAACATAATTAAAATTATTTATTGCAATAATTGAGGTAGTAAATTATTTATATAAAAGTTTATAATCTTCATCTTGAAGATATGAAAATTATGTTATATTATTTATCATTTGATAGCAAATTACAATATTATGGATGTATACAGGCAGTTCTAATTAATGTATTGATTGATTTTATAGAATAAATGTTTATAAGCTTTACAAAAGCTAGCAAATCATTGTACAATACATTATTTAAAGTTATCTATGCTATATCTCATTTTCATAAATGTTTGTAAAATTTTTAATTCTCTTTCTCCTCGTCATTTTTCAACAAATCACACTATTTATTTCGTTTATGCCTCTGCTAACTATTTCATTCTCCATCTTTCTCTCAGCTATATCTTTTTTCTTTATTACCTTTACAACGCTTATGAAGTTTAAAATTGTTCCGTGTAGTTTCCATAAATATAACATGATGATGATGCATCGCGTTAACTTCATATCTTATACGCATTAGTGTCATTTTCGTTACGGAACGTCACAGTAATTTCCTTTGCTGTTTTGTCTCTTTTGAATAAATATTCATTTATCAAGACCGTCAAACTAATTACTCATTAACCCTCTTTATTATAAGCAGATCATATGATTATCGGCAAAATTTGTTTATTATATTTATTTAGATGACCTATATATATTATTAATATATGGCAATGTTAATAATTACAGACCAAACCTATTGAGAAAAAAGTTTTTGATAAAAATTTTGAATTCTTAATAATATTAATTTGTATGAAATTACTTTTTTAAAGAAATTTTTATGTGTCTAACAACGAATTTAGATAATAAACATACATAATTTGAAATATTAATTTAATAAATGTTTTCGGCAACATCTATTTAAAAAAAAAAAGCATATAAATATTTGATAATTATTTAAGAATAATTTATTATTTGTTCCACGTTATATTTTCATGATATATTTAAATATTTTTAATTAAAATTTTAGGTCTCACCTCAGAATTTTTACAATCGTCAAAGACCTTCTTCATCTTCCTCCTCCAGTCATTCTTATTGCGAAACCCCAAGCCCGGGTAACTATCAAAATCCTCTGGATCAGCATCTGGAGGAACAACTGGGTGATAATATAATGACCCGTTTTCCTATCTGGCGTGATAACTTCAATTCATCTGATACTCTTGTTAACAGTGTAGATAACAGTGAGCTTCAGCTACAACTTATCGAAGAGGTTATACGTGGTGATATGAATGATCAAATAAAAAATCGTACAACCACGGATCTTGACTTACAAGTTGTCCCAAACTGTAGATCAAATTCATTTTCAAATTTTAGCAATATTTATTCGTTAATAAATAATAATGAAATGTTATCTTCGGAAAACTCAACCTACGTGGATAATAGCGAGACAACGGATGATTTGACAAATACATTACTTAGATTTGTTCGAGGTGAACAGACTATTATTTCATCTAAAAAGCTGGAGACTAAATCCAGTTCATTATCTTGTGGTTATAGTAACAGTAGTAACGAGGCTAGAAAAACATGTAACGGCAACCGTTTACAGACAGAACTGATGAAGAATAACTATTTAGAAATATTAAAGACACCACCAAATCAATTTCCACAGCAAGAAATGGTGAGACACAATATATTTATAGATTTATTTATATATCAAACTATAATGTATCAATAATGGGGTTGAAAAAGGTATATTTTAGTATGAAAATAAGAGAATTAATATTTAAAATATTGCAATAAATTAAATTACAAAAGAAAAAGTGAATACAAGAGAAATGGTGAGACACAATATATTTATAGATTTATTTATATATCAAACTATAATGTATCAATAATGGGGTTGAAAAAGGTATATTTTAGTATGAAAATAAGAGAATTAATATTTAAAATATTGCAATAAATTAAATTACAAAAGAAAAAGTGAATACAAGTATATATATATATATATATATATATATATATATGTATACATTGCTATTGTAATCTTTTAAATTTTTTAATTTAATTTTTTTCATTAAAACTTATTTAAAGTAAATCAAATTTCTATCAATGAAAAATTCGTTCAACCCTTTGTATTTGAATACATAATTTAAAAATATTTTCAAAATCGAAATAAAAACAATTTATTTTACATTTATTTTTCTACGTAATCTTCGGCAAGTTTAATTTTATATTAATAAAGCTAGTTATTATATTATTAAATGTTAAAATAATTAGATGTAGATATTGCAAGGAATTAATCACTATTGAAAAGATGTATTTTCACATTTTGAATCGCCTATATCGTTAATCTTTCAATTATTATAAACATGGAATTACTTTCTAAAGGTTTATGAACAACAATGCACAAATTTAAGTCATACAATGAATGCTGAAGATTCACAATTTTGCCCGAGCCAAGATTATGGGAATGGAAGAAGTTCGTGGCCAAACTATCATGAAGCAAATTCAATACCGGGAACTACATCTGTTACGAATAATTTTACTGACTTCCAAATACCAGAAACCGTTATGATTTTTAATTCTCAAAGAGTAGAAAGGTATTAAATAAATATCTAAATAAAATTCTAAAATATTGGCCGATTTCACGAATTGTCATTGTTAATATTATTAGGCTTTTCCAAAATTTTCATAAATCTTACGGGTAACCAAATTATATATATATATATTTTTTTGTAAAAGTACTTAAGTAATAAAGATATTACTTTAAGCATTATTCTAAATTTATATAATTAATTCGCAACAAAATTATTAATAAAAAAGTTATTTTAATGGATTATCGATTTTGAAGTCCAGTTAATAAACAATAATTATCAATATTAGAATTTAATAATCTATTTACGTATTTTAAATTCAGGAATTAAATGTACTAGTAAGTAACTAATAAAATTCACTATTATAAGTTTAGTAAATTCTAGTATGTATTAAGTTAATATTTCATTAATTATTGAGACATTTCGATTGGAAATATTGGTAAACAAAAATTTTTTTAACTCATTATCACAAACATGAGAATCATTTAATTTTATAAATTGAGAATTGTATACTGTAAATATATTTTTATATTTATATTTATCATTTTAATTTAGTCTATAAATGTATAATATAATATAAATGTACCATAAAGATTATTTTGCACTCTTATTTCATTTCTAACGATTTTAATACTGTTGGTAATTTAGCTTATGACAATCATTTCATTTTATAATTAATATCTTTAATGGTTAAAGTATGCTTAAACATTTTATTTATAAATTCAAATAATCAGTTTTAAATAGTAATGTAGATGTAGCTACGTTTACATAACAAAATATACATATATATATATATATATATCGATAGATTAAATTAGATTAAAATTAGTGTTTAAACAAAAGTTATAACATATGAATAATATTCGAAAATTACAATATAACGAATACGTTATACGATAGAACTATTATTAATTAATTTTATTTCATCATTTTATTACATAAATTTATGTAGTAAAAGTATGAGAACTCTGAACTATATATTTAATATATAAAAATTTTTTTAATTTTACATAGACTATAATAAAATACAATTATACAAATGATTTAATAGCAAAAATTAAGGTAAAATAAATATTTTTTTAAAAATTAAAAACAAAATTATCTGCTGAATATTATATTTTCAAAACATTTTAATACATATATAACGAGACGTTTTAATAAATATTATACAGTAAATATTTAATCTAAACATCATAGAAATTTATATTTTCCGATTTATTGTATATGAAATACATATTAAAAAAATTATACAGATTTAATATAAGTAATAAAATATATTGTTTCTAACTGTACTCAGTCATAAAATTTATAATCATCCAAATATAGTTGAGTAAATGCAATCTTTTTAATTCAAATAACTAGATCGCTGGAAATGTAAGTAAATATTTTATAATATTGCACATTAAATCATTTTATCGTTAATTTTAATAATATTTTAATTTTATGTTATAAAGAACGTCTTTATTAATTTTAATTTTTAATTAGGGTTATTAGTGATAAGCAAAATATTATTTTTATATGATAATTAAATATATCCACTATTTTATTATATAAGTATAATAAGGCAATTCACAGAATTACTAAATATTACATTTTATTAACTAGTAGAAATCATTAAAAATAATCATTAGTAAATATTAAATTTCCATTCGAAACAAGCGTCTTAATTATTTATTACTTTGTACGATCATTAGCATATAAAATAAATAATGACTTATTTTGTGAATTAGCAATTAATACAAATAATAATGTAAACTTGAACGAAGAGGGGATAATAATTAATTACATCATCGCATTTTCATAAGGGATTGAGCAAATGCAATTATTTTTATATTCGAGATTTATGTTTAAACTGCAGTCTTCCTTGTTGGCACTCATAATATCAAGTCTTACATAATTATATAAATCATGTACTTAATGTAATTTTTTTATGCATTTGTCAGCTCAAATGAGTTCACAAGTAATAGCGGAATCAGTAACAAACGAAGCATAGCGCCATGGCCTTCCTTAAATCTACCGTCCACTCGAGCTGCCGAGCGACTAAAGGAAGTTACTGATCCGCTTGAAGTTGAAAAGGCCATGAAGAATCTCTTAAAGAGATCGCTTGACCAGCTAACTAAAGGAGATGAAGACGGAGACACGTGAGTGTAATACATTGAGAGTCATTTAACTGTTGATATTAAATCTTGTCTGTTGTACAAAAATAGTAAGTGGTCGTGGCTCAAGTAGGCCTTATTACATTAATATGTTAGATTGTTCCGATTTACATTGTAAGGAGATTTTTCATATTTTTATTTAAATTATAATTTTAATCTTGTTGAAAATAGTGACTTATTCATAATATATTAAATTTAACCTTGCTGAATAAAACTGGGATCAATAAAATTTTATTGAATAAGAAGCTACATTAAACAAATACGTATTATGATGTATGAAAAATTTGATTGAAAAATTTCCTATTGAAAGTAATAAAACTAATTTTTTTTTTAAGACAAAAAATTGAAGGACGGTAGTAGAGAATAAAACTTTTTTGTTTATAATTCGAAATAATAAGTCTTTCATAATTATAATATTATACTAATAATGAAAGATTACGATAATCATAAATTTATTTATGTAATTAATACCAGGGATTTGTGTAACTAAAATACTTATTAATATTATACTTCTTTAACAGTGTAATAAATTATTCAAATAGATTTGTAATTATACTTATTTATTAATACTAAATCATTTCAAAGGCGGATGTTAAAATAATATTTACAAAATTGAGAAATTCTTTGTATTGTTTTTAATTTATTATCACGTGAAAGAAAAAAGAAGAAAAACCAGCCTTGGTTAATAACAAAAAATTAATTTCACGAACTAACACTTGATGATTAATAAAAATAATATATTGATATTGAATTTAAAAAATAAATAAAAATTTTAAAAAACTTTGATCAAATAGGACTTGTATATGTAGTACATTCTTGTAGTATTTGGAATTTTTATTCTTAGAATTTTTTTATTAATAAAAATATTACATATATTATTATTCTTTAAATAAAGAGTCAACTTTTACTTTAATCCGCGTTTTATCTGTTGAGACTTTCAAGTGTAGTCTAGAGAGTAATCAATTTTAAAATATGGAATGATAAATAAATATTACCTTGATTATACAGTAAATGTGTTTGCACTAATGATGATGAATTCATAATGTTTTTAATATAGTATAGACTGATGTAAACATTATCGTAAAAAATTCATATTGAACAAAGAAATTCCTTTTGACGAAGTTATTATAAATTCTTAAATTGAGAAAGATTTTGTTCATTCAAATAATTTTACTCGTAAATTTTGAAGTGAATATTTGGTTTTATTAAAAAATTTATATAAAAAATTATTTCTTTACTAGTAAAATATATTTCACGACTATATTAAAAATAAGCAGCTGTGAAGTACAGAAACAACATAATAACAATATTCGAGCAATATATTTTAAATTTTAACAGAAAATGTTTGAATTACATTATGAGTTTATCATTCATTATTAAATATTATTAGTAACACGATAGATATTAATTCAATAATTGAACTATTTTCATTTAAATATATAAATATATATATATATATATATATATATAAATTAATAAATTAATAAAAATAAATTAATATATATATATATATATATATATATATATATGAATTAAGAGAACGTAAATCGTCAATGATTTGTTATTATGTTTGTAAGAAGGTGTGTGCGAAATAAAGCATTAAAATAATCTCGTGATTAATCGGGTAAAGAGCTATCGTTGTAGCCTTGCCTTACAATGTCACTCATCGTGTATCCATGATGAAATTATGAATTTGCAAACAGGATGCTGATGTGCTTGGTGGGAAATCCTTTGGAGTTGCGGAGAAAGTTGGCCTATTTGGCGCCCCTTGTCGAGCGTCTCGGCACAATCGAAGGTGCGCTTTCGTCGCTCAACAACCGCGGCGAAGATGCTCTGTACCTTGCTGCGATGAACTGTCCACAGATGTCCTTCGTAGCAGGATATTTGGCTGCGGCTTGTCTTCAGAAAAACATCGATATTAGTCAGAGAGTCTATCGCTCCAGGGTCAGTGCTAATGCTCACCAACATTCAAGCAAGAGTTTTCCTAAATTTTACCGGTTTTCTTTCTCAATTCTTTCCAAAGTTCTTTATAATTTTCATTGAAGTATGCTTTAATGTATTATAAAAATATTTTCACCCACAATGACTTATTAATACAAAAATGTGAACTTTAGGTACAACATACATGATTACAATATTTACATCTATTGAAAATTTTCTTTAAAATTATTTAACAAAAATATGTTAATGTAAAGAATAATCTTCTATCTTCAATGATGCGGCTTTGAAAAATAACAAAATGTATAAGCGCCAAATTATGTAAACGTTTAGATAAGCCAATGATATGTATTTGTAAATATCGAACTTTTATAATTATTTTACGCTAGCTATATGATAATTTTCTGGATTAGTAACTTCTTGAATTAGTAATTCTGTATGTTCTACGTTAATAATATCCTATATTCGAGAAATTCGTTGTAAATATTAATTAATTATATAAGCATCAGTAATAAATAATTATTACGTTTATGTGTGCTAAATGTACAACAACAACAAACAAAAATTGTGTAAAATTTTATAATAATTAATTTTATCTAATTTATAGTCTTCAAAACATTAATTAATTACAAATAAAGATTAAAAAAAGCTTATGTACGTAATAACGAATAAGTATGGCATTGTATACAATTAAATATTTATACAAAAATGTGGTAATATGTATTTGGGAATAAAAAGTTTTATTCCCAAATACATATTAATATAAACAGATTATTAATAAATAGAAGATAAATAAATTTTAAACAAAATTATTACACAAGCTACCTTCGAGTGATTAAAAAAATTATAATACTAAATGTACAATACACGTGATAAATGCTATAACTTAGATTATTGAAAGAGTTAGATTTATATAATCAAACGTTCCTGTTTCCAGGGGGATACATTGGTTCATGCATTGGCCGCCAAAGGCGATGGTCACGGTGAAGTTCTAGCTGAGTTACTTTCACTTAAAACAGCGCAAGGGAATTCAGTATTCGATCTTTTAAAACGCAATTATGACGGTAGGTAAACTTTTATTCGTTATTTTTAAAAAGAAATTTCGAATTCTGTTGTAATACATTTATATATGAAAAACAATTATACATCGATGGTTGATGACTAATGTAGTGTAATGTTTATAACGCTAATAAAGCATTAGAGTACAAAAAGTTAAATTAGATATGCTAATTTAAGTTTATATATTGTAACGTCCATCAGTTCGAATACAAACATGACTGTATTTTTGACTTTTTTTTTTCTTTTAATAATCGAAGGTAGAACGGCCCTTCATATAGCTGCGGAATTGCATGGATCGACAAAGAGGAATGTGAAAATAGTGTCGATAGGTATAATTCAACTTTTATTGAGCAACGGAGCTGATCCACTAATACGCGAAGTCAGATGTGGTGACACTGCGCTGCACCTCGCCATTTCCATGAGCTGTGACCCATCAATTGTTAAAGTATGTTCAAAGCGGAGTACCAGCTATTTGCTTCTATCCTCTCACTATCTCAGTCTATTATTTATCTCAATGACGAAAAATCAAATTATTGAGAAAAAAGTATTTTATAGATCAATAGTGTATATCATTCGGTGTGCTGTTTGCAACTTAAATTAGGGAAAATTCTTTCAATCGATCGTCAGAATTTCCATAGTATATTGTATGATCGGCATGCTACTGTAATTTAATTCTCCATCTATTTATTGCAAATGATAAAACATCGATTTTATATATTAATTTACTTGCATAAAGTTTTCAATGATGTATGTAAAGATTTTACATTCATTGTCAATACATGTTAAGGCGATTTATTCAATTCTACGTTAATATCATCAGTCTACCATTATCAGCTATCCATTATTTTTACATGAAATTTTAAATTTCTTATGACTATCCCAATCACTATACTAAAAGTTATTATACCGCTTTTAAGATGTCAAATAATTGAATCTGAAATTTTACATCTAATAGATTTTACTCTCGGGCAGAGGACAACAAGCTGTAAATCTTGCCAACTATGATGGAAATACGCCTTTGCACATGGCTGCCATAATTTCAAAACAGACGAGCCTCGAGCAGCAATTAGAGATCTGTCGAATATTGGTGCACGCGGGAGGAAGAACGAATATAACGAATTTGCAGGGTAAGACTCCATTAGCCTTGGTATCGGCTGACAGAAAGGAAACGCTCCGACGAGTTCTTCAGAAAAGTGTATGAGCAAAGGATACGCGAACAATTTGTAATATTTTGTAAATAGTTTAATAATTGGAGATTTTGTGCAACGGCATACGTTCCCGGCGAAAAATGCAATTTTTTTATGTAACGAGACTGTTATGCCAACGTACATGAGTGTAGTATGAACTTTGTTAGATTTATTAATAAAACTATAACGACATGTTATGATTACTGTTACAAATATTTTTTAATTATAAGGAAGTTCGAGGACGATGATATAGAGATAGGAAAAAAGAATCTGCAAGAACTGAATTACGTTGAAAAACATAAACGAAGAAAACTAATTGTGATATTCCATAATATTAGTATTGAATATTATTATTACAATGATTTTCAATTTTTTCATCTAATATTTGAATTTTTATGAGTTTACAAATTTCAGAAAACGAGAAAAATCAGTCGTTTAATTGAAAATTATAAAGATCGTCCTTTTATTTAATAAACTATTCATAAAATTATGGATTGACTTATTGATGTCATGTAATTTTTTATAATGCTTAATGTTTTCTTTAACTCAGGACGTTATTTAAAATAGAAACAATTTATCAAAATGCAAGAACACAGTAATTTATGAAAGATAATTTTTTAGTTTTAAACATAATTTAATATATTATTAAAAAAGTAATGTATTATTGTACTATACTTTTGTACCTACGTTCTTGGTTAATATATGAATAATATATTTTCAAAAATATAAATAATATTATTATAAATAAATAGATAAAAAAAATATTGTAGAGGCCGTATTTATCATTTTATAAGGATTTTATAATAATATTAAGTCATTGTATCATTTATTATTTAACTGTAATTAATTAGTATACAGTCGAGAAGTAATTAATACATTTCATAATATAGTTGTCAATTATTTTTTCCTGAAATAACCAACGATTGTTTTATTGTCACATGTACGCATATCATTTCAGAGATTTTAAACATTTTTAACAGATTTGAAAATAAAAATTTTATGAATATGAAAACTAATATTGTTATATCAACTATTTTTAAAATCTTATCATTTACCTCATTTTACGACTTAACAAATTGTTCGATACATGAATAATCTTAAATTCAGTTAAAAAAAAAAAGGTTCAATTTAAGAAAAACAATATTATTAATTATATGCACATAATTTAAATTAGAATATAAATCAATAAATAATCAAAATTTTTATAAAAATTAACGATAATGGATCGACAATGTTTTATTACTTTATTTTTTTATGTATTAAGATGTTTTTGATATATTCCTATTATATGAACAATGGTGCAAAATATTTTTTACATGATTATTATTGAAGAATATATCTAGTATTTCAGAAATTATGATTTTACTTTTTATTAATTATGAAAATTGTTTTGCAAACATTAATTTTCAGCACCTACTAACTTGGATTGTTTTATTAAAAGTTATTATGAACGAATTTTTAACTAACACTATGTTGCAAAACTCTTTCGGAAAGTAGAGATTAATTATATTCAGATTTATAATGTATAAGTACACTACAATAACATATTTTCTAGACAGATGTGATTTTATAAAATTTCTTTTACTTAATTTTATACTTTTAATTTTTTATTTTGTTTCATATTGTATGTACTCAGAACAACTATATTATATGTTATAATACATATTATATAAAATAATGTTTTTTTTTAAATAAAGTAATTTTAAACATAATGCAATTCTAATTCTAAATATTTAAAGATTAAATCAATTTTTTTTTATCAATTCACTATTATTTACAAGTCAATTGTATCTTATATATTATACTATAATAATTACACATTTTTATCACTAATTTTTAGTAACATTAAATTAAATTTACTAATTTAAATATTAATATGTTGTTGACATTTTCAATAGTATAAAGTCGTTATCTAGTACGTTTTTATTAAAATTGTCAGATAATTTATAATTCAGATTCATATATACGCATAAAGAATGTTTTAAAAAATTGAATCCATATTTGATATACAATTTCCATTGTATAGTTGTTTATATACAATTTAAGTATAATTAATAACTTATATTTTATGACAAAGAAATATTATAAATAAATTAATATGAAATGGTATTTATTCTATTAATTGCCTATGTATCCAATAAATCACTAGTGATTTAAAAATGAATTTCATTTATATAATGATTGTCATAAATTTTTTAATACGCCTTTAATAAAATCATATATAATTTTTGTGTATTGTATATCTAGTAATCTGGTAAAATTAATTGAAGTGTGAAATTAATAAAATTATTTTAATTTAATTGGTATGGATGTATTAAGACTACCATTATTTTTCTATACAAATTCCGTACGTATCAGTTATCTTTAGTACTCTTTTTATCGTTTTTTATTTTATTTTTCCTTTCACTTACAACTTAGATATATATACAGAGAAAGAAAGAAAGGGAGAGAGAGAGAGAGAGAGAGAGAGAGAGAGAGAGAGAGAGAGAAATAGTAGTGAGAGATTCTGTGCGAATAAGTAAATTTTAGATTTTCTTGCGATAGTGAGGATGATTTATTGTAACTTATGCCGATATTACGTTGGCTCGCTCGATCAATTCTTTTCTTTTGATTTTCTCTTCTCTTACTAAATTTGCATGAGCGGTTATCGCTGCCACTGCAAATGTTAGCTTTGATAGAATAGATTAGGAATTGGTCGAGATAGAAACGATGAAGTCTATAAGTCGTCAGTCTTCTAGAATTGAAAAGAAAATGACGTAACGTTTTTTCGTATGCGATTCATAGTATTCGTTAATAGTGCATACGGAAGCAAAAGAGATCCGATCAAGGATATTTATCATCCAAGTGAAAATTCTATGTATTAAATGATTCGGGCATACTATCGCATATATAGCATCGACGATGAAATCATTATCACAATATCTTAAGTATTAAGACATATTACCATCCGCATTGCAATTACATATAGGAACTTACAATTTACGGTTTGTGTGTGTGTGTGTGTGTGCGTGTGCGTGTGCGTGTGTGTATGTGTGATTATATGAGTATTGATAATAAGAATCTTTTGGTAGCCGAGGCGTCACAGGTGCAGCTGCAGAGTGGCTGCTGCTGCCTCAAAATCGATGATGCGAAATTGGAACAACACGGTGACTGCGCCACCCGCGGTGACTGCCAGTGTCACTCGGGATAAAGGCGTCGTGATGCTATTAGTGTGATTATCGTATATTCGTTATTCATTTGGGAATGTTTTTATTGCAGGCGTCACGCATGCACAAAATAGCTAGTTGGTGCTGAACTTTAGTAGGAGAATTTTTTATAGATACGATCCGTAATAGTAATCCTATCAACTGACAATGTCTTCGTATAATGCAAGTTAACCTACCATTGAATAGAATATTTTTTCTCTACTGCCTTAAGATATATAAAAAAGAAGATATTTTTTAACTCTATTACTCTGTTAATTTTTTAGTATAATTCTATGAGTTATTGAAAATTTATATGTGGGTATTGCAGTATGAGTGGAAAAATGTAAACTTGCATGCTCCAGTCAAGTTTGTATCTTCTATATCTATTATTTCAATATTATAGGGTTCCTTTTAATTATTATAGATCTTCAATAATATTGTTCATATTTAGAATTTCATTAAGATTATAATATAAATACTTATTTTAGTATATTACTTTCTCATCTTACGAAATAACTTAATGAAAATTTTCTATAATCTAAATTTCAATTTAAAAATTTTAATAAAATATTTTAAACGACTATATATAATAATTTTAATTACCTTCGAGTTCATTAGATCAATGACTAAATATATAATTAAATTTTTTTAAAATGAATTTCCATTTAACTATCGATTCTAAATATAACAAATAAAATGTAAAAATAATAAACAAAATTCTCATATTAACTACATATTGCTCGAAAATATTTTTATTAATCTTTTCATTATTATTGAATGATCAAATATCTTATTTATCAACTTCAATGACACACTTCCTAATGATATAGAATATAATAATAACAAAATTATACTATTACTATTAGAATTGTATTCTATAATACGCTATAATAGGAAATATAATATACCATATTGTTTAACTATATTTATTATATAATCTGTATTAAAATACAAATTGTCTTTTAATGGTTTTAAATTGTATGAGCTGAGGTGTCGATCAGGAAACGAAAATCATTTCTTGAACGCATTATATAACGTCGCTAATTGCTCATTATTATATGTTTCAAGTGTCAAATATTTTAAACAAGGTTTATAATGTTTTCAGTTAACTTCCGAGAACAGTAGGACATTATATGGAGCTAAATCAGGAGGATAGGGTGAACGAATTGCAGGCTAACTTTATCTTCATGTAGAAACTAAATTGTTTCAGCTACCGTATGAATTTGTACAATGTAGTGAACACAGACAAACTGACGATGTCTCGACTTTGAATACGAGGAAATTTTCGTACTATAAATATTCGATAGTCACTTGCTATATATCATTCCGGTGTAATGTATGTTGATTTAGCACAATAGTGTCTATAATTTTTGAAACTCCTTTTTATAAATTGCAATTATTTTCACACTAAATATTTGCAAGTCACCTTATCTTATTAGTTCTTTTAGGTTCAATTACTTTTTTTCATTGGAAAATATAATTCACAAATTATTCAACTTTTAATTCGGTATTCATTCAACTGAAGACGTTCTAAAACGGCTTCATTTCCATAATACTTTAAGTAAAAATACATAAGAGAATAACGTATTTCTATATAAAAATAATTTATATAATTAATTATTCAATCCGCAGATTTATTAAGTATATAATCTGCAATATTTTCAAAATAATTATTATTTAAATTTTCGAAACTCTTTACAAAGTTAATAGGCTATTTAGGTATTACATAAAATGTTTATAAATATAACATTTTTATAAGTACATAGTGATTACATAATATCTATTATTTAATTTACTATTAGATATCAAGTATTAGGTACTCTGAGCTCTTGTAAAGAATTAATCGAAACAATTATTATAATAACAAGAAGTAAAATGCAATTAATTATATAATTAAGTGTAAACTAATTTCCTAAAATAGTATTATATACTTGATAATTAATATTATTAGTATCGATAGTGAGCATTATATCTTTTTCATAAAATGTGGTCGTATATATATATATATATATACATTAATGAGTTTTTATTTTTTTAAATGTTTTATGAAATAATAATTTTGCACAAATTCTAAAAGATTAATTTCAAGAATTTTTAAATATTAAAGTAAAAACAAATTTTTGCCTTTTTT